AGCCATTTTTAGGAGAATACTGGGAACTGTAGAACTTCATGTGGTCTAAACATGCATAGGGTTGTGCTGTCAATTTGCTGTCAATTTTGGTGAATTTCTGTTGAATGTGTGACTTGGAACCATTGGAAGATGCTTTGTCCAAGATGGACAAACCCGTCAGTTTCACTTTCTCCCACATTCAATGCTTTTTAATCTCAAGATATTTCCCTACCATTAAGGAGGACATTCACAGACTTTGGTGTGTTCCTCTTGAACAACTAACCAAATGAAATCTTCGCGCTTCGCCAAGGCAGAGTGACTTAAGGCAAAATGGAACTTGTGTCTGCAGCAGGTGACCTGCGATGGTCCATGTGGGGCCCGATGCAGAGGGCCTGACTTCCGTCAGTTGTGCCAGAGGGACCCACAACCGAATATGTGGAACTGCCTTGTCTGTGGGATTACATGGCTTGTTCACACATCAAGTCTCACTTGATGTGAAAACTGTCACACCACGAAGCTGAATTTGTAAACCAGACTGAAACTTTTCAGCTTGAAACGCTGCAGAACAAGCCTAAAGAGAGAGAGAGAAGAAAAAGAAAGAAAAATCAACACTTTCCCTCCAACGATAATGTCTACTTTATAGTAGCTTCCTGCTGGCTTTCTTTGAGGCGGTTCTGACTAGATGGTGATTATTTAATTAACCTTTAAATATGCTGCTCTTTTGTGTGGCATTATACATTACCGTAGTAACCCATGTCTGCCTGCATAGCTATCTATCCAGTTAGCATGTCAAGTCACCTTTGCTAAGCTGGAAAGGTGTGGACCTGCAGCTGGATGGGTGACCCACATCTGGAAGCACAGCAGGGGATCGGACTCGGTGGCTTTATACGCCCCTTCCAACTCTACTGTTATTCTATTCTATTCTAGTCTAACCTTGGAAGGTTTATTTATTTGTTTTTATTTAAAGCTTTTATATACCACCTGACTACTACAGTCTCAGGACAGTCTAGAATAAAAACAGAATAAAATGAAGCACAGCATCCAATAAGTCCAATAAAATAAAACCCACATTAAAACCTAATCAACCTTAAAAATAATGGGTTTTAGCCTGGCACCAAAACGAATACAGAGTCAGCACCAGGCGGACCTCTCTGGGGAGCATATTCCATAGTCGGGGCACCACTGCCAAGAAGGCCCTTCTCTGGGTAGCCACCTGCCTGATCTTCAAGGAGGGCTCCAGAAGAAGGACCTCCATTCCAGAGCTTAAGGGGTGGGAAGGCACATAGGGATGGAGATGCTCCTTCAGGTGTCCAGGTCCTAAGCCGTTCAGGGCTTCATGGGTCATCACCAGCACCTTAAATTGGGCCCAGAGTTCAATTGGTAGCCAGTGTAGATAGTCAAGAACCAGCGTTATATGTTCATACCTGCCGGTCCCTGTTAACATCCTGGCAGCTCTATTTTGAACCAATTGAAGTATCCAGACTGTCTTCAAGGGCAGCCCCATGTAGAGCATGCTATAATATTATATTATGTATATTATATGCATATTGCAAATAGGGCTGGGGAGATGTTCCAACCTGGGAATGAAAAAATACCAGTGATGCAAATGGAAGAAGGGAAATTTGAACTAGGGACTTGCTCGGTCAAAGCCTAGACTCCAGACCACTGTGCCACACTAGGGCTAGGCAGGTGACCAAGCCGGGTGTTCCCAAGCCCAGGTCAGTGGCTAGCGCCCCAGCACATACTGAAGAAATGAAGTCCCGTCTCCATCCATGCCTCCATGTTCAAATGACTTCACCCAGCCTGCTCCCTCCAGTTGCACTAGCCTCAGACAGCATGGTGGACAGTGGGGGATGATGGGTGTGTTCATCCCAAGCATCTGGAGGGTACCAGTGCTGGGGAAGGCTGACGGATGCCGTGGCTTTGTCAAAGCTCTTCGATCTGTATATTATGGTTTGTCAGGTGTCTTTCAATCAGTGATGGAATGGGGGCAGGGTGTTTACCAGAATTTGTTATATTTGTACTCATTCACATTAATTCAAATGAGCTAATGGAGTGATGCACATTAACTAGTGTGGAACTGCAGATCAGTGCTCATGTAAACTAGCACATATCCCACCCCCCCCAACCTGAAAAAGCGATCCACAGGTTTATGGAATCAGTGAGATTTGAAGAAAGCTGGTCCACTGCAGAAACCACAAGTCAGATTCGTAGAAATCCAGACTCATCTGGATTTTATGCTGGATTGTTTTGATGTTCCTAGTTGTGGTTCAGGGAGTAGCAGATAGCTACATCCGAAAGGGTTTTTAAAAGAAAAGCTAATGGGAGCAGGATTACTCTGTCTGTGACCTTCAGGTGGCTATTCCTGAACAAAAGCATTTCCAGGACAGATATCCACAAAAAATGGCTGAAAGACAATCCATCAAGGGATTCACCTCTATTTCCTGATGTTTGATTAGGGACAAGATTTGGTGTTTTCAAAAAAATCAGACTACCTGTGCCGGTCGGCTGGCCAAGCCAGTGCAATCGAGTCTGTTTTGATGTCCCAGTCACTTTGTGAAGGGCTGCCTTTAATCGTTGCATGTCTGTTCCTTCTGGCAATGCAAGGATTCTCTCTCCCTTTTGCCAAGCATGGGTATAAAAACCTGCCAATTGTAGGTTAATATTTCATGCACGGGATGAGGTGGAGGATATCCACAAAGGCATGTGCCAGAATAGATTTGTTAGTCTTTAAGGTGCTTTAAATGTTTGGGTGTTTTGCTGCAGCGAGCCAACACAGCTGTCCCTCCAAAAACAGGATAGCAGAGCTTTCCTCGGGCAATGCCTTCCAGAATTGCTGGTGCCCCCCAGTTACATCAGCCTCTGTTTTTCCTCCTTCCCTGGGCAGAGGCGACTGTAGCCATGTCTTCAACTGGGCTGCAGCAGCCAGATAATTATGGCTCCAATTATGACCAAAATTGGCAGCTTATGGTCTTTTAATGCAAGGTGCTTTTACAGGAAGACAATCTTGGAAAGGAAGCAGGAAACGCATTTGTATTGTCCAGCTAATGTTGTGTCTCGCCCGGTATTGTCAGCTGTAGCTGGAGAGCACAGGTCTCTTTTGTTTGGACAGAAACCTTTCCCAGCCAAGCTCGCAGAGAAGGAATTATCGTGACTGCATCAATCCTCATACAGGCAGGGTGTGTGTTTTGCCACTGACCTGTGCCCTTCATGTCTGAAATGAAGGATGTGAGAAGAAAAAATAAATTGGGAAAAAGGTGCTATCCATGCAAATGGCAAAGACTTAGCAATAGTTGCTAGAAACTTGCTGTCAGCTCATGGGCTTGATAAGCCAATCATGTAACCTGATATAAGACAACTACCTATATCTATGAATCATCACAGAGGGCCCTGTTCCAGCTTACTTCGGCTCTCAGTGGTTAGATGGGTGGCAAGCAGAGTCAGGCCTTCTTTGTGGTGGCACCCTGTTTTTTAGACACCCGTCCTGATGATGTTTTCCTGGCACCTACAAGCACTTTCATTGGCTATTTTCTTAGTAGTGCCACTTCATTTTCCCAGTCTTTCGCTGGAAAGATTTCCTCATGTAACTGTCACAGTGTATTTTTTAAAGAATAACAATATAAACCCATTTTGAAAAGGAGTGATCACATTTTAAATAAACGAATACATTTTAAACAGGCAAACAGATCATTGGGCTGGAAACATTTCTGCCAAAGCCTTAAAATCCTTCTGAAATCCATTTGCCATGCCATGTAACCAGCCATTTCTTCTCTGAGTCAAGCTAGATTTCTTTCCCCCAGCGGACTAGAAGGCTTTCTGTCCTTTAATGGCTTGCATTGGCTGCCTTCTCCCGGGCGCTTGGGGCAAAAGCTTTCCTGATCTGTGATGCAGGAAATGTGTGTCAGTGCCTTGATGTGCCGCTCCCTCCCACCCCTCCCCGGAAAAAAAAAGAGTAGGACAAATCAACAGGGAATTGAGACCTTGCCTGTAGTGGACGCTGCTGGGTCCTCTGGCCACACAAATGGGATCACAAGCCGCAAAGTGAGTTTAGCCGCTGCAGGGCTGCACTCTGGTATTCAAATGGACTTTTTCAGAGTTTGGAAAGTAGAAAAGTGGCTGGACTTTTCTGTTCCCAAAGCATCAGTATTACAGTTCTGGCTTATTCTATCCCAGCTCACATCACTGTTAATGTACCTTTTGCTGAAGTCAGTCTTCCGTAAGTATTAGCCGTCTAGCCTCTATCCTTGGATAAGTAATATTCTTGGGGTGTCTGTTTATAACTGATGTTTCTACATCTTAAACTGTGTTTCTTCCCTCTGGAGATATGGTTTGCTGAGTGTAGCACCCAAGTTCTGGAACTCCTTCATCGAGGAGGTTGAGTTGGTTCTTCCTCTTTAGGGTTGAAGCTGAATTGTTAAAAAAAAAAAAACCAAGCAAGCAAACAAAAGTCTTCTACCAAGTATATGATTTGTTTTAAATTTTCCCTCTTTTGATAGATTTTATCAATACAAACGCAGGGTGTCGTACTGATATTTTATGTTGTAAGCACCCCAGACCCCTTTTTAGAAGCAGGGTATGAATTTAAGTCAAATTATCTGTATGGTGATTCATTTTATTTTTGACAGCTTTCAGAAACAACCTCAATACAACTATTTATTTTCCCATGCCTGTGCTTTGAATTCTGCTTAAGAACTTGACTTTTTCACTTGATTTATTCAAGTGCAGTCCTGGTTACAGTTGTTTATATTCTGCTGCTTTGGGTTGGGTTTTCTTCTGAGTTTGTTTCCTGACTGTCTTTCCTTGTTTGGACAGAATGTTGGCTTAGAACACGGTCAATGGGAAAGCAGGGTATCAATACCTCACATAAAAATAAAGAAATGATTTTCATTTCCCATATGGCTGAGCTTGGATCTGCCCTTAGTTGTTATATTTCATCCTGTTAAGGGACTGCACTCTCAAAATGAGACATGGCCTATTTGTAGCGGCTTCCAAACCATTTTGCTTTTTTCCTTCCTTGAAAGGGGAGACAGGGCTGGGGAAATCAACGTTGATGGATACGCTTTTCAACACCAAGTTTGAAGGCGAGCCCGCCTCTCATTCACAGCCAGGGGTTCAGCTGAAATCCAGCACTTACGATCTCCAAGAAAGCAACGTCCACCTGAAACTTACCATTGTGAGCACAGTGGGCTTTGGGGACCAGATTAACAAAGAGGACAGGTAAGCAACCACGATTCCTCTGGATTCTGCCCCATCTTTAGACAGTTTCAACCTCTTGCGAGTCTGTTCAATAACACAGTGGTGACCAACTTGAGGAAGGCATTGGAAGCCCTTTATAGCAGGTCAGTGAGATGCTTTGTGTAGTCCAATATTGCTTCCTCTGGCAGCGACAGTCCAGAGCAACCTCAACCAACTGGGTGGTTGGGTTGATGGGAGTTGTATTCCAGCACATCAGTTGAGCAAGGCTGCTCTAGGGTATTGGGATAAGGTCTTTAGCATCGTTTGTTGCCAGATCCTTGTAACTAGAGATGCAGAGATAGAACCTGAGGTCTTCACTGTGCCAGCCACATGGCTTGCTAAGTCCTACGTGATCCCTTCCAACAAAGCCTGAAGTGGCACGATACCTTGGGGAAGGAAGGATGTTGGCTAGGGGAACCAGGGTTGGAAAGCCCCCTTGAAGGCCACTTCAGTTTTGAAGGTCTTTTTATGAGGAATGTGGGGAAAGGCTTTCTCCTACGTTGTTCCTCTGCTTTGGAAAAAGATGTCTGTTGTGGCAGCTCATCTTTTTGCATTCAAGAATGTCGTCCAGATCCAATTGCTGTTCTGAATGTTTAAGGTTGTTTTGAATGCCTTGCTATATTTCTGTTTGGTTATGGGTCTTATTTTCTGAAATCTTTAAGCTGCCTTGGCTGGCTTCATATAGGCAGAAAGAACAACCGGCAGAAGGACTGTACCTTGAATGAATGAATCATCTTGCTTTATATAAGACGACTGTATGTGTTCAGTGAGTCACACAAGCAGTCTGCTCCTCATAGGTGGAGGTGCAAATTTGTGCAAGGCCATCACTCCTCCTTTGGGAGCCTGGAATTGCCGGCCCTTTCCAGCCCACGGAGGGGGACCTGTGGCCTTGCGCGAGGCATTCCTGCACGTCACCCAGCCGCTCCGCAGCACTCGTTTTGCTCAAGTTGGGCCACCGAGTCAGCGGCTCTTGACTGAAGTCTGACATATTGCCAGAACTGACTCTTACTCTGATTCATGGAGCTATGCTGGTTGCTTAGATGACTCTGCTTGACATTGTGTACAGTTTTCGTTCATTTGACATAAATATGTAAGGAAATTATGGATCAGAGGGGGAGGCCTGGCTGGCTGCTCATGAAAAGCTTGACGAAATCCATGTGATTTCATAAACTTAAGCAGAGACTTAAGCTCTTTTTATGAATGGAGGGTTGGAAAAATAACGGTCCACGTTTAACACTGTTCGGTGTCTTCTCTCCCTACCCTTCCCCCTTTCTTATAAAGCTACAAGCCCATTGTGGAGTTCATTGATGCCCAGTTTGAATCTTACCTCCAAGAGGAACTGAAGATTAAGCGGGTGTTGCATAACTACCACGATTCCCGGATCCATGCTTGCTTGTATTTCATTGCCCCCACTGGCCACTCTTTGAAATCCCTGGATTTGGTAACAATGAAGAAACTTGACAGTAAGGTAAGGAAGAAGTCGTGTGTTGTCATCTCACAAGGAGGCCTCAGTCAGCCAGTGTTCCGTGTGTGAAGAAAGTTGTTTTACACTTCCCTCTTTTCTACCATGTTGTTTCCTCTTGAAGCTGGGCTGCGTCTCAGTGGTAAACCACATGCTGAAGGCTCTTGCTGTGATCCCGGATTTAAAAAGATAATCAGATCACAGGACTGGGAAAGACCTTTCTCTGTTGGAGTCCCTGGCAAACTGCTACCAGTCAAATAGAGAGCGCTGGACAAAATGGCCAGCATTGCTAGTCTGTGTAAGGTGGCGCCCTTTCTCCAGTGGGAAACTTAATGCATCCACGGGTTCTCTTTTTCTCCTCTTTTGGTTTTTCGACAGGTAAATATCATTCCCATAATCGCCAAATCGGATGCCATCTCCAAGAGCGAACTGACCAAGTTCAAAATCAAGATCACCAGCGAACTCGTCAGCAATGGGGTGCAGATCTATCAGTTTCCTACAGATGACGAATCCGTGGCAGAAATAAACGGCACCATGAACGTAAGCAAAACCCCTCAGACCAAGCCTGCCCTGGGAGCACGCTGGAGGGCTCGCTGGGCCGTTGTTGCCAGGCACCCCGCTTCCCCATGGCGAGCCCCAATCAGAAACTGCTTCGGCACACTTCCCCGCCTGAGGATCAGATGCTGCCTTCTGAACGAGCAAGCAAGCAGCCAGGAGACCGCACAATCTGCTCTGCAGAGATTTCGTAGGGCTGGGCTGCTAACGTGGGCCTGTGGGCACACCTCAGGGTGGCTTCCAGACACCTTTCCCCTCCTGAGTTTTCTTTTGTGCTTAATGAAAACAGTTGGAAGAGTGGCACCCACATAGCAAAGTGCTGTTCTCCAGCACCAGCTCTCTTGGGGTTCAAGTGAGTGATTTTGAGTTTGGGAGGTGGACCCCTGAATCGCCTTGCACTTTTTTTTTTTTTCTGAGTAAGCGACATGCCTTTGAGCTCAGGAGTTGGCCTTAAGACTGTCATGGCAGCAGCCATCTTGTGACAGCACCCACAACACTCTCAAAATTCCAAATGTGCCATTCAACCCAGACAGGTTGGGCTCAGGAGGCTAGCGTAGGGCATTGCCAGGTGCCTGAGGCCAGAGGTTTTCAACCTTTCCACAGCTGGGGATCCGCAAACACAGGGAAACCACCTTGGAGGCTACTGAGGCAAAAACCAAAAGCACATAATACAGTATTCTGTATTAGTTTCCAAACACAATATCCAGACAGACAGACAGACAGACGACTGATGGACAGACGGAAGGGAGGGAGGGAGGGAGGGAGGGAGCGAGGAAAGTTCTCCAAAACAACCAGAAACTGAGCAACAAAAAATGACAACAAAAGAACAAAATACCAAAATTGGGGCAGCATGGCTCCCGTCAACCTGTCTCTCCTCCCCCCCCCCCCCCCCCGCCCCGTGGCATTGGCACAGCTCCCATGAACACGATGCCAATGGAGGAAGAGGTGGGGGACCACAGCCAGCTGGTCTGCCGCAAGCAGGAACTGTCCCACGGACCAGTGCCGGTCTGTGGACCGGTGGTTAAGAGCCACTGCCGCAAGGCACAATCCTACGTCTCTTTCGGCAGAAAGAAGGACTCCTGGTGGACCATCTCATTCCACCTCCACCCCCGGTGCCATTCTGGCACACGTCTCCTCCCCATCTATCCCTCCCACTTTCCGTTTATAATTGAAGTGCCGAGGGGGGCTGAAAGAGACATTTTCCTCAGGCACTTGCAAGTGCTGTGTGGTCCTGCCCACACGCTTTGCGCTGCTAAGTCTCACTGAGATGGTAGAGGAATGGTTTAATTATAACAGCCATATCCTCTGCTTTACTGTCGCAGCGCTGCCTGGAACAGGTGTGTTGCCAAAGACAAAAATCAGAGAAGAGAAACCCTTCTCACGCACTGCCCCATCGCTAGCCCATTGCTGCTGCTTTTCTCAACCGTCTTTTCTGGGTCAGTTGTCTTCTGCCGGTCATCTTTGGTTCCTGCTGTGCAGCATTGCAAAAAAAAATAAATTTCTCCTTAATTTCCCGTAGGGAGGGGGCATGTGCCTTCCCTCGTGGCTGGGGAGAGATGCTATTTCTGTGCCTGGCACTTTTCTTTTCCCAAAGCTAGAAATGGAATCCACGAGGGAATTGTGTGTGCGTATGGAAAATCTTATTTTAAAATGGAAGTGCCAAAGGTTACCCATAAAACATTCAGGCTGGTTTTCTTTAACATAAATACCCGTTCTGCCATAGATGGAAAGTCTCTGCCCCTTTGTGTCTGGGCAGGTTGGCTCTGCTGCTTGTGCTGCCACAGGGAAACATTCCGACAGAGAGAGCTCATCAGACGATTTCTTGTGCTTGTAGTTAAGGATTAAGGAGCATAAGGCACGGGGCTGCTTTTTACCTGGCAGGTGCGCCTCTGATTTTCTAATCCAGGGGTGCTGCACCTCCAGTGCAAGGGCCAAAACTGTCCCTTGCATCCCCTTCCTTGCATCACGAGAGAGGGTCCTGCATTTCTGTCTCCTTCCTCTACCCCTCAATTATTTGGTGGTTCCCCAACCTGTGCGTTCTTTTACTCCCTACTCTAAAACATTGAAATCTGACTCCTAAGGCTTCCTTACTGCATTTTGGGTGGTGGGCTTTAATTGGCTTGATTTCTCCTCTTTCAAATTCAGCATGGGAAGGATCATGACAGGGGGCTCACTGGTGGTTTTTTCCTAACATTGGGGTTATACAGTGCTTTAAGCACTTGAGAAAAGCGCTATACAAATGCTGGTTATGATTATTACTGAAAGGCTCTCCCTCTCTGCCTCTTTCTCACTGGCTTCCAGGCTCACTTACCCTTTGCTGTCATAGGCAGCACAGAGGAGGTCAAGATAGGAAACAAGATGATGAAGGCTCGCCAGTATCCCTGGGGGACTGTGCAGGGTAAGTGATGCCGTGGCCTGCAGTGACTGTTCCCACCCCGAAGAGTGTGACCCTTCTCCCTGCCATATTGCCTAGGCTTCACCCTGTGCAGCAGACCTCCCACTCCGGGTGCCTTCCAGATGCTTTGCATCCAGCTCCCATCATTCCCTTGGCCATGCTGGCTGGCAGCCTGCCAGTTTCCACTGCACGATCCACAAACCTGAACCGCAGGCAGCTCCAGCTTTAGCAAGCTACGTGTATGCTTAATGCCGGTGGGTCACACTGGAGCTGCACCAGTGGTGCTGACCGAGCGGAGCAAATGCAGCCCTCACAATGAAAGCAAGGCAATTGGAAATGGCTGTCAGGTGCACACATGTGCCAGAGTTTGAGGGAATTTCTGCAAATGAAGCAACAGGCAACGAGTCATTCTGTTTTGGAACAGTTTCTCTTCTGTCCCTCGCTAAGACAGCAGTTGTGAGACTAGCAGCCCAAGTTGTCTTAGAATGAATTCCAGAACTTCCTATAACAGTTATACCTTCCTATAACAGTTATACACAATGCAAGTAGAACAGACTGATTGGATAAATACTGTTAAAATGACTGTTAAGTGAGCCACCTAGGAAGGTCATTTTGGCTATTATAGGCAGCATATAATACATGGAGGAGACTCCTGCGAGTCCCTTAGACTGCAGGGCGATCAAACCAGTCAGTCCTAGAGGAGATCAACCCCTGACTGCTCTTTAGAAGGCCAGATGCTGAAGATGAAACTCAAATGCTTAGGCCACCGAATGAGAAGGAAGGACTCCCTGCAGAAGAGCCTAATGCTGGGAACAATCGATGGCAAAAGAAGAAGGGGATGGCAGAGGATGAGGTGACTGGACAGAGTCACTGAAGCAGTTGATGTGAACTTGAGTGACTCCAGGAGATGGTAGAGGACAGGAAGGCCTGGAGGAATGTTGTCCATGGGGTCGCGATGGGTCAAACGCAACTTCGCAACTAGCAACAACAGCAAGAATACGTGGGTGGGTGGGTGGATTGAGAGAGAGAGAAAGAGAAAAAGAAGGAGGGAGGGAGGGAGGGAGTTGCAATCAGGAACAACTGGAGGGTCCCAGGTTGGGAAATCAGCTATGAGACAGAAAAGATAGAGCCTGACACACAGCCAGCCCTTCCTATGGAACATTGAAAGCTACAGTTGACTGCAACTCCTTGTCAGTGCAGAGTAGCATCACTGTCTCTCCAGGGCAATTTTGTGATGCGAATCCTACATACTTGCTGTTGGACGTTAGTGTGGGAAACCAGTAAATTGGAGGCAGGAAGGGTTGCCAGCAAGGACCCCCACGGCGTATCATTTCAGTCTACTCTTGCGGCTAACCCACAGATGGTTTTCACTGAGCAGGGCTTGGGCCTGGTGCCTTGGAACACACCTTTCCATAGCTACTCTAACCACGGCCAGGTACCACACATCTGGCATTTAGGAGAACTATTCCAGGGCAGTGGGTGGCTGGGCACCCAGTGCCAAGTAAGTTACCAGACTCGGTGTGTGCCTCTGTGTGTAAATAGTCTCTTAGCTTGGCCATTGGGTTGTTCTGCAGTGTGGGGCCAGTTGACCGCCAAAGCGCTATACCGGGTGGTCAGCCTTCTTTCCATGCCTGATGTTAATACATTCTTACATCCACTGCAAGGAAGCGCCAGTTGCAGCCCCAACTCCTGTGTCCGGAGAGCTGTCGTAAACCTGGCCCAGGAGACATCCACTCCCGACCTCCTCTGGGTCTGCCCACCCACCATCCTAGCCTGATTCCAGCCATCCCTGCCACAAGAAAAAGTTGCCATTACCAGTTTTAAAATCTGCTTTCCGGAAGTCAAGGAAGTCGAAAAAGTGCTTGTAGTGTACATGGACCTTTAAAAAAAATACAGGGAAAAAATGGTTACAACGTTGGTTAAAAATGAGTGCTGGAAAGAGCTGGGCTGGGAGACCACTCTTCTGGGGTTCATGGGGATGCGTAGATATTTTCTAGAGTAATAACTGGAGTATGTGCAGGAATGTTTTAGAATATTATGTCCACTACATTACAGAGCCTCGCTTTGTATGCTTTTTTGCAGTGCGGTCCTCTTTAGCTTTTCTTTTCTTTTTCAAGTTAAATAAGAGGAAGCTTTCCGTCATGGGGTTAATGCACCAGTGGGGGCTCCGTCTTACACGCATTGTCCGTAAGCAGGTTGTGCCGAGGGTGCCCAACTTGTCTTGCCATGCGAACCTGCATGTTAAGAAGCCACCCATAACCCAGGGGCTGTTCTTTATCCTGGCGTGCAGAAAGGCCCAGCATAACATTGCTCAGCACCTCTGTGTGTGCATTCAAGTGGGCCTTAGTTGTCTCCCTCTTTCTGCCACTCAAACAGTGGAAAACGAAGCACATTGCGACTTTGTCAAGCTCAGAGAGATGCTGATCCGCGTCAACATGGAGGACCTCCGTGAACAGACCCACACGCGCCACTACGAGCTGTACCGGCGGTGTAAACTGGAGGAAATGGGATTCAAGGACACGGATCCAGATAGCAAGCCATTCAGGTATGAAACATGGGGCTGGGCAGAAGCGCTGCTTTCAGCTGCCGCAGGATGTCGAACCTCTTTCGGCTTGAGGACCATTAGAAGGAACTTGTGGGGCTCACCATGGTGGATGGAGCCAAGGCAAAAGCGATGAGGCCAAAAATGCCAGAGTATTTTAGTTTGCAGCCCTAACTAACCATGTTTGAGGAAAGGCATTTTGACTTTATAGATGCGGGAAGAGACTGCACAGAAGCAATGGAAGCACCACAAGATTGGTGGTCTGGGAAAAAGGGGTGGCAGTTTGGAAATGGGGACTGTGGCCATCTCCGGAGCTGGGCCTTCAGGCAAGTGGAATTTGATCCGTGAGTCTGAAGACCTGTACCCCAATACCGAAAGTAATAAACATCAGCAGCACCTAGTGAAATGGCTATAAAACACAATGTATTTCACTGAATTTTAAACCTCCACAGAAACTGGTGTGTGTGTGTGTGTGTGTGTGTGTGTGTGTGTGTGTGTGTGTGAGAGAGAGAGAGAGAGAGAGAGAGAGAGAGAGAGAGAGAGAGAGAGAGAGAGAGAGAATATAAATTTGTAATCTTTGTGGCTTCAGGGGAAGCATGCATTGGGGGGGGGGGGGGACAGTTTGTCAATATCATGCCCGCTCTCCATATCTTGATTTCACAACATTTGCACTTGCCGAATTTTTCCATATGCATAAACTTGGTCCTTTCTAAAATAAAATGTCAAAACTCTCCAAATGATTTGAGTCTTTAGATCATTAAAGAATAAATTACATGTGCTAAACATATATAATTTTCCTTTTTGAGCAGAGAATAGTCTCTCTCTCTAATATTTGTAGATTTTAAAAAAATGCACATACTGAATTGCAAGCAAAATTTGATTCTCTGACTTCACATTCTCTTCTGTCTTTCTCCTTCAAAATGGTGTTTTGTCACCCATCTTTCCCACTCTGTCACCCCAGCTTACAAGAAACATATGAGGCCAAGCGGAATGAGTTCCTGGGAGAGCTGCAGAAAAAGGAAGAGGAGATGCGGCAAATGTTTGTTCAGAGAGTCAAAGAGAAAGAAGCAGAGCTGAAAGAAGCTGAAAAAGAGGTGAGCATCTATTTTGACATAAGCTGTGTATAAAGGTGTACAGAAAGGTATGCCTACATGAGAAGGTTTTTTTTCTTTTTTTGAAATATAAGGCTCTCTGTGTAAAGTAGCATCTATGTTCGCAAGTTCACAGGTGAACATTCTTCAACATTATGAGTGTCAGGTATTTTGGAAATTCCCCCAAGCAACGGTTACAGGTTTTCTAGAAAGCTACCACCTCCTTCATTGCAGCGAACAAGCCTTGGTTTGTTCACTGGGGTGGCTGTCCAGGAGCACCTGGCAGGAAGTGAATATGCTGGCTTCCCAAAAGTTCACAGGCTCTGAACATTCTGGGGATGTCCCAAATCTGGATTGTTTGTTTTCTTTGATGTGCAAGATCCAGAACTTTGTATTGTTGCAGGAGATGCAGCCTAGAGTTTGTCTTTCTGTTAAAACCGGGTTGTTTCTTCCTCCGCAATCCAGGGTTTCAGGTTTGCATGCCATGGAGAACAACCCAGGCACAGAGACGGTGAGCACTTAAGAGTCCTTCCTCCCCCACACACTCACAAACAAACATGCTTTTGCCTGCAAGCCAAGTCTGCTCCTCGCTGTCAACATGAAGTGCTGTCAGTGGTCTCTGACTTGATTAGCACTGAAGCAAGTATACACAAGAAGAAAAGGCAGCCCTGGTTTATCTGAGGAGGCAGAGAATTTCAGAGGTCAGGAGAAGCTGGTCTCCTTGTACCAGACCACTAGGAAAGAGTGAGGGGGCGATAGCTCTCCTTTCTCTTAACCACAGCCCAGTGCTTTTCAGCCTCCTTTCTGCAGTGTGCCCTTTCTACATGTGTGTTTCTGGGAAGACCTGCCCATGCTGTTGAGGATTGCGTGGCTTATTCCTGGGTGGGCAGCCACTTCACGCAGAGTGCTGGTTGCAGGATTACCTTGTGTGGGCTTGAGAGCACGTCCCACGTGCTTCTGCGTGTGCACATGCCCAAAAGCACAAACGTGAAAAGTGCCGCCTGATGCCAAGCACGTGCCCCAAGCATTTTGCTCCACCTGTGCATCTTTTTGCTCCTGCTCCAGTTGCATGAGAAGTTTGATCGCCTGAAGAAGCTGCACCAGGAAGAAAAGAAGAAAGTGGAAGATAAGAAGAAGTCCCTGGATGATGAAGTCAACGCATTCAAGCAGCGGAAGACAGCAGCTGAATTGCTCCAGTCTCAGGCTCAGCAGGCAGGAGGATCACAAACCCTGAAAAGGGACAAGGAGAGAAAAAAGTAAGTTGGCTTGGTTGGGTGGCATTCTGGTTTTCTCCACTGCTGCTCTCTCTTCATTGTACTCTGAGACGCTGCATGGAAGGGCCAGCTTCAGCCCCAACTCCTGTGTCCAGGCGGAGATTTTTGGACACCTGAAGTGCTGCGGCTGTTTCTTGAGTGCAGGCAATGCCCTAAGCAGCTGCCTGAGGGACCACCGCGCTCTCCCGTGCCGGGAACTTGCAGATTTGCGGGAAGTCTGTTCACGTTCGCAGCCTTTTGCCTCACCAGATCATGTGAGCAAAAGCCAGGAAGAACTGCTTGAGTCAAATCCTGGTGTCAGTTTTCAATGAGTTCTCCTCCATCTCTATGCAGTCCTTTATTTTCACTTCAGTGAGCAAACCAAACAGGTTCCCAATTTTGATTGCAATGGGTTGCCACTCTTATTTGTATTTTAGTTGCTCTCTTAGTGTCAGGCATGTAGCGCTGTCTCCATAGTAGACATGGAGGGACGGAACGGACATGCAGGGATGGGAGGATTCCTCTCTCTGCATCCGCAAGGAGTTGTTGCCAGTGGCAGCTGTCCGCTTACAGCAGGAGCTTTAGCTGGTTGGTAGTGTCACTTCAATCTAGAGCTTGACTGATGGAGTCAAAGGTTGGGACCTTTAATGAAAACCATCAGTCCCTTTCCCCAACCCCCTGCCCCAGGTTTACAACCCAAGACCCTCCCTCACCTCCCAAAATAGTAACCAGAGGCACTGTTATCACAAAACATGAAGGGATTGTGTTTTCTCCTCGCCACCACAAACTGAATATCGCTGAAGCTTCATGTCCCTTGTTTAAAAGCAGTTTCCAGATGTGGTCCATTAATTGCCCCTCCATAAGGTCCTTTTAAAGTATTACTCCATTAAAAAAAGAAATTAAAACCAAGATCTTCATTTCCTTCTCATTCCCCCCACCCTTCTCTCTTGTTTTGGGAACATTAAAGTGCCTTCACCTTCCTTAGTTTTCATGTTTATGTTTGACGCTGCTCTTTGCTGCATGGTGCATGGAGGTACCTTGTGCTGGTATGCTTTGACTAAATGAAATCGCCATTGCAGTGGGAATCCCAAAGGTCACTTTGTTGCAACAGAACGACCCGGCGCCCCCACAGCTGCCTGAACCTGCGATCTTGCCTTCTTTCCTAGCCAGCGATCCCACGACATGCACCCTCCGGTTATATACCCTTGCTGTTCGCCCCCCCGTATGTGTGTCGAACCCCCTCCTCCGTCCAGCACGGACAGCCACAAGGGTCCCTGTAAGGTTCTCCCGACACGTGTCCAGCTACTTAACTTGCTCTTTGCCTGGACATGGCTTCCTCAGTGGAGCAGTTAGCCGAGGTGAATGACAAGCTTCCCTTTCAAACTGGAGAGGAAAGGAAGGCATAGCTTTTGGCCCATGTGGTTGGGACACAACTTGCACTGCTGCTCCTTCTGGCCTTGTTCTAAGGACAGTGCCGTGGGTAGGCATGGTCGGGCATCTGCTAAGGGCCTGCAACCCAGCAGTGGCTCCCTGACAAGGACCCCTGGCCATGCATCACATCCTTGCCGGTGCAGCCTGCTCGTCACCATCGTTGTTCTTGCCCGTCAGTGGTTGAACCAAGCAGGAGGAATGGTGAATGCCTCCCATTTCCTGCTTCCTGGTCCTCTGCCTATCTAGTAAGCAAGTGGTTCCCAGGATGAGAAAGAGGAAGGGAAGCCAAAGCATCTGGGGACAAGGTGGCGAGGAGGTAGATGCTCTGGAGAAGAGACATCTTTGCTCAGGGACCCTTGGAAACCTCAAGCCGGTCCTCACATCTCCAAAAAAACCAGGGCTTGTTGTCCCCTCTCAACGTACCTGCCACCAGCCAATCCAGTGGCAGGAAAGGTGCTTTCTGGTGGCTTTCAAGATTGCCGCCTTCTCTGAATCTACACCACTTTCATACCGACGGTTCCCCCTCTACGGGCCAGATGGAGAATTCAAAGGGGAGTTCTTCTGGGTTGCAGGACAACAATAGTGAGGAGAGAAAAACAACGGTTTGATCTTCAAGGCTTGGATTGTGAAAAATAAGCTCAAACAATGGCAGTGTTTCATGGGGCCTGAGAACATATCCAGGGGCTGGAGAGGAACTGGAGTAAACATCGTGGGCTCTTGTTAGCACTGGATTGCTTTTGGCAGACCGCCACAAGCCACCATGTGCGTGTTGGTCCATCGCTCCAATAAGCCCCATTTTTTGTTCCCAGGACAATGTGCAAACATGGCCTTTCTGAATGGGGCGTCTGTCCAGGCCCTTGCCCAGAACAGGAACCAAATAATGTGTCCAGCAATTCACATACATTCCCAGTACAGATCTGGTCATGTAGTTTGCCCTTTTTTTCCCTGGGCGGCAAACAATTTGCATCTGAGTGAACAATCCTGCTGCAATCTGCTGAAAACTGAGAGGCTGTATTCGTAGCACTGTGTGTCCAAGCATGTTTGAAGTAAAATTAAAAGCCAAACTAACATTATTTTTCTCCCTCCTGTAAAATAGAGACGGGGGAAGGCAACACATAACTGACTGCATGGGAAAACCAGGATTCATTAGTGCTCTTTGTTTGTTTTGTTCTGTTTTTGTTTTGGCAGCATCTCAGAAACCTTAGTTTCAGATTTTCTGTTTAAAGTTTCTAGTTGCTTTGACAATATTAGGTTTATTGGTATGAGTTTAATGTCTCAAGCACCCAAAAGGCAGACTGGCTGAAATTTCTTGTTGATGGTTGGTGCTACAAGTACTATAACTAATTTCCTTCTTTTAAGACCATTATTGGTCATGTAAGGAATCTCCCGTCGCAGATGCAGGATGCCCACTTTCAGTGGTTTGGCATCAACCGTGTTTAGGTAAATCATATGCTAATTGCATGTAACATCAGTGCATTTGACCGTTGTGTCTCATGGTGTGTCTGCACTGGGGTCCTGATCCAAAATGTGTTGCCCACCCCTGTTAAAAGCCATATTTATCTTATTAACTTACTATTAATCTAGAGAAACATTAATCTTTTTTTTTGTTTTTCATTTCCAGTTCAGGTTTCCTGTAGATCCTATCCTTTTGCTCCAGAAACGACCATCCCACATTTTGAGTTAACATGCAGCCCACCCCTGTGCCTGTCTGTCTTTCCCAGTGCACCCTCTTGCTTTGTTCTGCCATATTTTCTAAACCCCAAACGTGGCTGTACTCCCTTGACTGTTTTGGTGAAGAACTCTGCAGTCTTTTCTGTGGAGCTGGTGAGAGAGGCTTCGCTTGTCTATCTTAGTCCCTTGACCAGACGTTTGCAGGTTTAATGTTCTCAAGAAGTTCTGTGCCAGCATCTCATGAATGCGTCGGGGGACGGGGGGCGCTTGCATGCATGTAAGACTGCATGCCTGCTTACGGATTGCACTGTGATGCCTGAGCCCTGACACAGATTCGCTAGTGAAAGCAAAAAGGCTTGTGCTTAAAATGTCCTTGATTTTTTTCTTTGCTTGATTAAAAGAGGTCTCTGGGGTTCTTGATGGGACTTTTGTGTTCACTCTGTTTACGTATTTGGTTGCGCTTCAACTATTACAAAACTCACTATAAAGACTCAAGGCAGCCTTCTCCAACCCTGTGCTCTCTGGATCTGTTTGATTACACTTCCCATCACACCTAGCCAGCATCATGCTGGCTAGGGAGGATGGGAGTAGTGATCCAAAACATCTGGAGGACACCAAGTTTTAGGAAAGCTATCCTGATACCAATGCAAGGATGGGAAAGGAACCGTTGGAAAGAGAACTTTGTAACAACATAGGGTATCTGCCTTAGACCAAATCAGCCACGTGTCCATCTAGTTTCCAGTACTGTCTCCTCTAACCAGTAGCCACTTTCCAAGGCCTCAAGCAGAGAAGGGTGCTTCCATCACCTGCTTCCTTTTCCTGAGTGGAGGTGCTGGAACCTGGACCTGGTATCTTCCATCTCCAAAGCACGTGCTGAGCCACAATCCCCTCTCAAAGGATGCTCTCTTCAGGATGGCTTTTGGATTGCTGCCTCTCATTTATACCAGCATGTATAATTGCCTGGAATGCAATTAAATCTCACCAAGTACAGCTAGCTCTGGCTGACAGCAGCTCTCCAAGGTTTCGAGCTGGATCCTTTCCCAGCCCTGTCAGGAGATGCCAAACGGCTGGCATTTCAGACATGGGCAGTAGTGCTGAACTGAATTTGCTTAGGATCCACAGCTAGGCAGACATAATCCTGAACCTATTTGGTGGAACTGGTTTTAACAGTGTATGGCAGAATGATCCCTTAAATCTGATTAAATTCCAGTATTTCACCTTGGAGTATTAAAAAGCAACTATGGCCTCTTGCTACTAGGATGTTTTAAAGTAAGGAGTAAAATTGATTTGAAAAGTGCTAGGTACTTCTTCATTCAAAGGTGGAAGAAAGCAATATATTTGAATTTGTAAAATATCCTTCACTTTTAGGCAAATCTGAATATTTTTATTTTTATACTGGAAAACTTGTTTAGAAGCCTCATTGTTAGGCAGAAGCAAGCAAAAATCAGCATTTTTTGTTTTGTAGAAATTATTTTTTAAAAGTTGATTTGAAAGCAACACAAGCATTTTTAAATGGTAGGGATTTTTTTAACTGTACGATAAAATAACAAAATTTGTTTAGTTTAAAATTGAAATATATAGCAGAAATAAAACCAATTTAGAAAGAACTGTGGGCATATTAGCATGATAATTATACTGGCTTAATGTTTGTTATCCTACCCTCCACCAAAAAAAGGAAAAAGAATCCTGGGAATTGTAGTTCCATGTAGAATAGGCGCAGACTACAGATTGCTTTGTCTGGGGAGGCATGGTGTTCAGAATGCGCATGTACCTGAATATGAGTTTAGTGGGGTCACTGCCTTGTGTGTATACAGGATTGCAGATTAAAGGTGCAACCATATGCAAGTTTAGGCACAAAATTTCAGATTGCAGTGCTGTCTAAATTTGCATTGGGCGGCACCCTTAAAATTGTGTCAAACTTAGCTAAGTTTATAGCACAGATACTCCTTGTATATGCTGTCTTGGGCATTCAGAAGAGCAAGTAAATTCTCCAGAGTTTATGATAGCCCTAACTTTTGGTCACCAGGAGTCAGATGAAACAATCTATTGACCTTTTAAAAATATTGTTCTAACCCATGGTTTATTATTTGGGCAATATTCTTGATAGGAATGAAGAAGAAATTGGTTTCAGACTGGGAGCCAGATATGGCCAGCTGGTAGTCTATAGGCTATACCCAAGACTCAAAGAAATTTTCCATGTGTTCCCATCCAAGTCCTAATATTTTACTGAGGTGTAATCTTTGCTTTAAAAACGTCCATCTTTTCACTGGTATGAGCAGGGAAATTTCTTCACAAAGGTATGAGAGAAAGTGAATTCACCTACATTGCTTAACCTGTGGTTTATTTAACCCATGGGTTGTTGAATTCTGAGTTGCAGTGAAGTGTGAGGGCAACCACGCTCACCAACCGTGGTCTGTTAACCACAAACAGCCCAGAAAGATAACCCACCCGTGGTTTGGTGTGGAGCTTACTGCTGGGTTGTTCAGCCTCTATAAACAACCCATTGTTAGATGTTGCTTGCCCCAGAATGGTAAAGCAACAGGTGCCTTAGAGTACCCCACCCCAAACATACATGCACGGCCCCATTATCCTTAATAGGCTCCTAAACAAGCAAGTGAATTTAGAGTGAGACCATTAGCCTGGGATTACAACAGACCTTTGGGAAGTGGCTTCATGGCATGGAAATTGTTCTGGACTGCTGGCCACTGCCAGTCTCTCTGTACTGGCATGTACGACTCTGTGTTGCCTTGTTTCAGCCTATATTTTTTAATGGGAAAACTTAAAAAAAATAAACTTCTTTCAGACAATAATTCTGGTTAATCTTTTGTTTCTGTTTTTGTTTTCTTTCTTTTGCCCTTCTTTTACAGTAACCCATGGCTGTGTACTGAGTAATTCCCTCTGAGTACACTGGGCTGGAATTGGACCTTCACTTATTTAATACGCTTCCACTCAGCCATGGCCTTCTCATGATGCTTCCACCAATGTAAACCTAGATTCCTATTCTTCATAATCAGGAGCTGAGTTTTCTTTAAATTATTTTTGGCTGTATAATGGTGTGTGCCTTGTAAACTGTGTAAAAGAACAGTCTTGGGAGCTTTGCACACTTAGAATGCCTTTAGGATGTCACGCTAGGCCACCCTTGATGTAAAGGAGCCCCCAAAAATGACCGGCTTGGAAAACCTCCTGTTAGTCTGCCGGAACCTGGCGGAAGAGAAGGGCCAAGAAGCCTCGCCTCCCTTCGGGTGGTTCCCTGTGGTGGCAGTGGAAACCTTTCCTCTTCTCGCAGGGGGCGGCATTTCTCCACTGGGAGCTGCGGGGAGGACCGAAGCGCTCCGTCTCTTCTCCGCCAACCCATCCATTTGCCCTACTTGCAATACTTTGTCCCCCAAGGCCACCAGGGGTGGTGAATTGCCTACACAGGGGGGTCTCCAAGAAAAAGAAGGGTGAGGCCAGTGAGTGGGGAAGCTCTCCCCAGCCTGGTTCCCCCTGCAACTCCCATAATCCTTAGCTGCATGGCTGATGTAGGGCCTGCCCACTTTCTGTGGCCATTGTTTTGGGGGTTACCCCCATCAGTTTGGGCAAGAGACAACCAGAGAAAGGGCCTTTTTGGTTGTGGCACCTCCCCTACCCCCAGGGATGTTTGGAGTGCCTTGCACAGGAAAGTTTTCCAAGTGCTTAATTTTTTTTTCATAAATATCTTTATTTGCCCAGATCCGTTAGCCCCTGTAAGTTCTGCTTTCAGTGCCGTGGGAAGCTTCACCTATTTTACTGGTCATTTTCTTTTGGATGTCTTCAGTGTGTTATTTGTAAAGCACCCAGATTGTTTTTTAATGGAAGGTTAGGTTGTTAAATTAACCCTAATGGCTGATAAATGCATAACTGCTGTCAGAAAGAGTAGCCTGGGGTAGTTCTTTTCTTCAGTAATATGCAGTAAACCCCTGGAAACCAGAAAGCTGCCTGCTAGTTATCCAGATTGAGCTATTTATCCATCTGGCCCAGGACTGCCTGCTCTGGCTGGCAGCTGCTTCCCAGAGTTTCAGGCAAAGGACCTTCCCGTCGCCTTGAGTGTTTCAGTGTGAAATCCCAAGCCTTTGGCATGGAAAGCACTTGCTCACGCGCCCAGCCGCGGTCCCTTCCTAATGGCACCCCATTTTCATGCCAGTGCTGTGGGGCAAGAGTTGTGCCCCTAAAAAATTTGCCCCTCAAAATTTGCCCCTTAACGTTTTCTCTCACTTTGGCAGAGTGAGAAGAAGAGCCCTCCCTTGTTCTTGTGGGTAGCTCCTCATTTTTAGTAAATTGCGACTTTATCAGAGCCTACAATGGGATGGAAAGAAAGGCCGTGATCATGCTGGTTCCAAAAATTACCACGTCATCTGCTAGTTCTTTGTTTTTTACAAGCACCTTGAAGTCATTCCCTGGAGCCTGGAGCCAGACACACGGTTCAGACTAAAGAAACCCCAGCCCAGGAATTTATCCGTAATGCCAGAACTAAGCAGAAGTCACAACCCATCCACACAAAATCCATTCCTCCTGGTTGTCAGGCTTGCTTCCCTTCAGCAGTATCATTTAGTTTTGTTACTCGTGTCCTTAAACCGCAGGGGGTCAGGAATCCTTGCCGCTCTAAAGCAAATCACCCAGAGATCTACCAAGAAATCCTGAGAGATCTGCCCATCCCTGGTGCGGGAATGCTTGAGCCTCGTTATGCCTGAACTCTGTAGTTCTGTAAAGGGCTGACTTGGGTATTCAAGCAGGGTCAACAGGAAGGGTAGGCATGGCCGGGCACCCGCCAAGGGGCCCCCTGCCAAGAGATGCCTGGAGCTGCTGCTCCTCTTCACCACTTGTGCACCTGCCTCTCCCTTTGGTTCACACGGTGGTGGTGGTGGCGGTGCCCCAGCCCACCTGCTCCCCAGCTTCCCACCTGTCCAGCAACCAAGCGGTGGCAATGATGCAAAAGAGGGTGATGAGCAAGAACATCTAATCAGCGTGCCAGTGAGCCAGGAGGATCATCACGGGCATCTTTCCAAGCGCCCTCAGAAGTCTGGGCCACTCACGGCCATGTGCGTGGGGGCAGGGGTGCGCTGAGTGGCATCCCTCCGTGACGCTGCATATGCCCTCCAGCCCATCTCCACGGACGTCCGTGCCAGTTGCATGGACGTCTGCTAGACGGTCTGTGTCCTGTGTACTGCACTGGGGGTGCACCTGCTTGGCACAGCACAGCCACACCTGCATGCCAGGTATGTACTTGAATAGGGCCGTGGTCACTATTATATGGAAGGAGTTCAACATCACTAGTTGCCCTGAAATTCCAACTTAGCTGCTTAGGATGTGTAGAAATGGGATCCCACCAAGCTTTCCTGTACCTGAGCCTGAAGCTCTGCACATCGGTGCAAACACTTCTGTGTAGACCTTTGGGCCCTGTGTGTGTGTGTGTGTGTGTGTGTGTGTGTGTGTGTGTGCAGGCACGTGTGTGCATGTGCTTCTTGACCGAAAATGCCAGAAAACAGTCCTGGTGGATGCCAGAATCCCCCAAAATGTGTTGAAGGAACAAAAAGCAGTGGAAGTGAGCAGGGCTCGAGGAGGTGAAGAGCGCTGTAGGAATCGTGATCTGCGGGACAAGAGCAAAACCACACATCTTTTGAGAAGTAGCAGGAAGGTCTTGCTGATCAAGTCCAGGTGCCGTGGATCATGGAGCCATCCCACCAGGGTGGCTAGGCAGGGCTTACCCCAAAGGCTTCCACGGAGTTTAGATAATCCTTGCCTTCGTATATATTAAGGACAAATAATGTTTATTTACCCTACTGTGATCTGACACCTTGGCTGGACTTGGGTCAAGATACTACCAGGGACCCTGTCTGCTCGATCCCAGTCCAGCAGGTCATTCCTCTCTCCAGGAGCCGTTACTAAGTCCTCAAGACTAGGCAGGGCCCCCAAATGCCGTGCCTCCCACGTTATGGTCCTTGAGCCCCCAGTTCAGGCACTGGCCAGGCAATGCTGTTAAAATGGAGAGCCACCAGCACACCAAGACTCTCCCACGGAAACCAGCGAGCGATCTGGTTGGCGATGCGCCCACTCCTGCTGCTGCTGCCCTTTTAGAGGAGGGTGAATAACAAAAACACAAATGTTGAGGGTTCAAGTGAACACGTGGGATTTTCAGAGTGTGCTGTGGGCACTCACAAAATGGCTGCCAGGGAGGTGCCTTCTCCGTTCATAGACTGGCTCGCAGGTTGAGCATGACCGGCCACAGAACAGTCATTTCTCAGAAGCCAGACTGGGGAGGCCAGGAGAAAGGGATCTTTACACAGGAGCCTCCGTACAAGAGAGATGTAGACTCTGGGCCCAGACCTCACAACCTTTACATCCCACCGGAGGGAGAACGTTGCTTTGCCGTGAACCTGGCTCCTGCTTTTTTTAAAAGTTAATTGAATGGTTCTATCAATCTTAAATGAAGATCAGGAGGGGCACGAGCTTGGCAGCCATCTGCAGAGTCTCCCATGGGCGCTGCCTTGGAGAGCTCTGCTTCATGATTATGGGAAGGTCCTACTATACATGTGACAGCTTCTGAGCAGCTCATGGCCTGCTTTTGATCACTGTGCGAATGGAGGTTTAAAGGAGGAAAGGAAGAGGCAGACAACCTAAGACATGGTCCTGGGTGGATTGCCATAAAACTGTTACTGTTGAAATTTTTCCCTTCAGTGCGTGCAATGTCAGATCTTAGGTTATATAGTTTACTCTTTTATGGCAAAAAGTCATGCTGGTTGCAAATATTTTTGCTCTGTTTTAAAAGACAACAACCTTAGTGAAATTGTGGAGTGGAAGAGTGGTTAATGAAACATTACTTGTAATTTGGGTTCCATTTTTATATAGGATAATTGAATGATTGTTGCATACTTTTTTCTTGATTCTCTGATGATCTCACCACCTGGAAAGATGGTGTGCTGAAGCTTCAGGTGAATAGCTCACTCTGATGTGTTCTAAGGGATGGGTATTTAGAAAAACAGGAGCTTTGTAAATATTTATGGGACCGTGGAAGAGGGAGATCCACAAGTTCAGGTTTTTAACTAGCAAGCATTCTAGTGCACATTCTTTCTTCAAATGTATTTTTTAAACCAGTTCTTATTTCAGAATTGCAAAATGCCCTTTGTTGCTAAACTAGCTAGCTGTTACTGTTTTTGTTACTGTTACTGTTTTTGTCAGAATCACCCTACCTCTTGC